ACTTAATTTCAACCTGAGGTAAATGGAAAATTGATGGGTGCTGCCCTGTTGGAAAATTGTAGCACRAAACAACTTGTCTGATCCTGTGAAATAGAACCATTTGGAGAAAAATAAATTAACTCTATTTTAAACTCAAAGTCCTCATTTCTTCCACTTTTCCCTTCCATTCCYTTTTTAATGGTATTCTTAGACTATTTTGCCCCACATCCCCTTTCTCTGCCTTTTCTTATCTCTGTGTCATTCTGTGTGCCATTAGTAAGCAATGACTGGGATATTGCGGTGTTGTCCCTAGGCGCTGTAGTCCTCAGGGAGAGACCACGTGTTCTCCCAAAGTGCCCACAGTTCCTCACCCTCATCCTTCTGATGCTGACTCTTCACAGAAAGTCCTCTGGATGTCCCTGCACATCCCAGCCAGGATACATGGCAGTGGCAGCAAGGGTATGTTTTATTGATCACTGGATTCAAAATCCATTCCTTAAGAAAAGGACTATGTGCAGAGACTTGGAAGGAGACAATTTCATTGAAAAATCAAGTCTTTGATCCCCAATTCACTGAGTGACTCAGTCACCAAATTTACTTATTTGACCCTGAAGTTTGAGTTGAGAGCTGCTGCAGTCTGGCTGGGCACAAATCATGAGCCACTCAAGAGGAGCAAACTTTATTTCTGAACTCCACCAGCACACTCCATACACGCTCCCTGGAATTCTCCCGAATGCCCCGTGGCTCCTCCTGGAACCACCAACTGGAAATCCCTCCTTGGGCACTTCCCCAACCAATTCGAACTCTTCAGGAATCCCTGCGAGAGCTCAACCGGAACTCAACGGGAACTCCGAGAGAACTCAAAAGTCATCATCTTAATGGCTCGCTGGCGTCACCTCTCAACCACTACTCCTGGCAAAAATGCCATCGTCATTCCCGACTCAGCTATGGCCCTCAACAGAGAGCAGTTTATTTTTTTTATTTTTTATTTTCAGCTAGAAACTGAAAGGTAGACAGAGGCTGAGAGGGCATAATAGGAATATATTTTTGAAGAAAGATTTCTACTGAATATATTCTTCATTAATAAATTTATTCATAGGAAGAATGTAAGGATTCTGAATATTCAAGAATCTATTAACAAATAGATTCTTCATGAATGTATTTATAAGTAGAGTTAAGTTTTTAAGAGGAATACATTTGAAAGAGAATATACCCATGAAGACTACATTCTCCAACATTATGAATATGTTCATAATACTTCATATTCAAAATAATATTCTTCGGTCCTGGGAGTGGCAGAGACAAAAACTGAATATTCCTTAACGTGATATGAAGCAAAAGACAAATGAGTAAATGTGGAAACTTGGTGATTTATTAGGTGGTTGAGAAATGCTACTAGATCACACAGCTGGCCAGGTCCAGGATGCAGGATTCAAGCTCTGACCACAGCCCAAGTACTTTCCACTATACTCAGTGTCCCCATTACTTACCCTATAGACAACAATGACTCATCTCAGAAATCCCAGGCATGTTTGAAAGTCAGCATTCAGCAAGGGAAAGGTGTTATGTCTTGGAGTTTTGTGTTATCAAAGAGTCAGTGTCTTGTGCTGTCACTCTCGGAAATTCTTTGAATATGTGGGTTATTTAAGGTCAGGATGTCTAATCACAAAGGGAGTGAAGTGTTCAGAGATGGTTAAGGATAGGCTTTTTTTTTTTTTTTTCTGAACATTCTAGGGTTGTTGGAAATGAAAGGAATTTATTTTTTGTAAAATGTACCTGAAATTACAGGCATTCAAAGACTACATTCTCAAAAGTCCTAAGCTCCCTTAGGATTCTTGCTAATGATCTAGTTTCCAGCATCCTACGTACTTACGATGTGGTGCACAAATGGTCCTTTGGGGGATTCTTTCTAATAACCTAGAAGTCCCTATTTCTTAAGGCCCTGTTGGCTTTTGCTTTCTCCCTGACTCAAACCATATTCCAGATTGGAATTCAGAAGAGAGACCAGGGCCAGTATCCTCCACACCCTCTGCATTGTTTCTGGATGGTGTGTAGATGTAATCCTCCCAGTAGAGTGCAAGATTTCAACTTTTAGCAGTTCAACCCTTTCTGGAGAGTTTTGGAAGAGGGGAAGGAGACTGGCTGGAATGCAGTAGAAGCCAGAAGATGACGGAGCTGAGTCCAGGATAATCCATGGTCCCTCAGCAGCATCCAGCCACTCTAAGAGAAGCGGGCCTTGTGGAGTTGGCAAATGCTGATCAGCTTTGATGAAAACTCAAAGGGTTTGTATGTGGGAGATTCCTTGTAGCTTGGTCCAATGCCAAAGAAATGAGTTCCTGCTGCTCTTGTTTGATTGACACCTACTTAATGGCTGCCATTAGACATCAGGACCCTATATGTGTTATGTTGCTTMTATTTATATGCATGCAAATACCCCCCAAAATGAAATTTTAAAAACCCTGGTGTAGATATTACTTTCTTGTTTTACAAAGAAGTTACATCTGTCTAGGAAGTTGCAGAGCTGAGATTTGCATTTAAATTTTGTTGGCTTGTGTCATTTATCGATGCAACAAATAACTTACTATGCTTCAAGTGCCAGGGTCTATGCCAAGCGCAGGGAATCAGTGATGAACAGGACTGATGTAGACTTTATCCCCACAGATCTTCCAAACTAGTGGGAACAGACAAGTAATAACAATAAAGAGTGAAGGGCAATAGATGCGGAGATGCCAGTTGTTGCCGGGCCAGAAAGTCAGTTGGGCACCTCACAGTTAAGGTGTCAAGAAAGACTACTGAGAAGTCAGGGGCAGAACACACTGGGCAGTGAGATGGGCAGATGCAAAGGTAGGAGGCGTAAGAGTGGCGTGAATTTGGAGGAAGGTTCAGTATAAATCAAGCGCAGAATATTAAAGAAAGTAAAGGGAGAGGGCAGAGGGCTGAGTAGAATGTCTGCAGTGTGCTGGGGCCAGCAGGGACCAGCTCCCAAGAACTGACAGTGCACATTCTCCATAACTCCAGTGTTATCCAGCTACGCAACAGCATGGACAGTCCGAGGATTTCAGCTTCCTGGCTGGGGCACTACTCTGATGAGGGCATTGTTCACCCAGGTGAGAAGATCTGAGTTTCCTTTTGACTATGTTAAGGTCGAGGGTGGCAGACTGGGGTGTTCTGCAGGTGATGGACACCTGGATCTATCTCTGATCATGTTGGCTTCCAGGAACAACAGTTCAATCCCACTTTTGCTTGGTATCATTTGTCCTGGTCTAGGAAATGTGTTGAAATGACATACACATAATGTGCAAGCCAGGTCTTCCATGGATGCTAAACAATGAGCAATTTAAAAATTCTTATTATTTAAAAAAATCCCCAATTTGGTCTCTCAAATTATTAACACCTAAACCTCTTTCCCTAAGGGAACCTATCCCAAGGAACTCAGTAGTCCAGCTGGCTGACTTTGCCGACTAACACATGCAGCAAATCAACCTTTGCTCTTCCACAGCTGGGGAAAACCTGACTATGGTGTGGGTGCAGGTTATAATGATGTGCTCATTAAAGATAGAGAGGTGTGGATTTTATCTGTTTATTATCATTTAAAATATATTAAAATTTTAACAGCAGAAGCAGGAAATTTTAATTGCACATGGCAGTCTACAAAAAGCAAAGCAAAACAACAAACCAAATGCCACAGAAACAAAATTTACATAACTGATAATATATTAAAATTACATTTAGGTAAGGATCTGAACAAATGTAATGTATGCATATTTCTCAGAGAATATTTTTTTCTTTCATTACCTAAAATTGGAGAACTTCTGTAAGCAGAATTAACTTTCTTAAACTGTTAACATTCCTAAGGAAGCAAATGGATGTGGTCAGTTCTGAGTCTCTTTTCTATGAATTCCCTTTTTTCTTCCTATCCTAAAATGATGAGTTTCCACTTCCATAAGGGCATTTGTAGCTAACTGCTCTACATGGAAGAGCAGTAAGAAGCTAAGAAAGAGGTACTTGCTTTTTGTAACTGTGGGACAAACTCCACACAACTTGGGTCTCTGATATAATCAATTATAAAACAAATAAAATCTGATAATGAGTCAGAATTTTTCAAACAAATAACAGACACCGAGCTCCCAACCTTAGAAATATTCCTTCCTAATGGCAGGGTCCTGTAAAGGTGTACACAGGGCCCAGATGTACTTGTTATATAGATCCGACAGGATGCAGGGAAAAACAGCACTCCTGAACTCTCCACAGAGTGGGAGCCAGGAGGATTTCACTGTGGGTGGTATCTGGCCTACCAGCCAACACCAGTGTTAGAATGGGGACCCTAGGGTACCCACAGCTGGTGAAAGCTCCTCAGAAGAGTATTATCAGCTTCTGGAAGGGCCCACCCAACTGTTCTCCCATGACTCCTGGGCACGTTCTTTTGTGTAAGCTCCTGGCCTCCTTGGGGCAGCAACCAAGAAGTGGTTAATGGAATAAAAAAGAGATTTCATGAACTGCAAAATCATGTGCTTATTATTTTTTTAAAGAGTCATACTTTCCTGAGTAAAATACACAAAAGCCTCACAGGAAGTCTTTAAAGTGCCAGGCCTCCAGTCAGCAGGTATGAGCCATGTTCAGATGTGGTTCTGGTGAAAACACTAACAATGTATTGATGCATCTGCTTTTCTGATATTGTACCACTTGAGAGACTTGTGCTTGCAAGATGGAAAATGTCTTCTTTTATGGTGAGGGAAGGACACAGATGTATGTGTGGGCTTCTTTGGTCTGTTTGTTGCAACACATCATAGCAGAAAGGATCCCATCAACGATAACCACATTCATAAACCCACACTTGTGCCTGAGCGTCTGAGTCACTGGCACACCATCACTCTTCAAAATCCTCTATACACATGAACCACAGACACTTGAAAGTGTCCAGATTAAATATGGATATRACCATGGGGACATTCAAATCAAATTGATGGGTACCAATTTACTGCTGAAAGAGTCCTGGCACTGGCACGAGTTTGGAAGCACCTTTACTCTGTGACATCCTGGCCTGTGACAGTGTCTTCTTCTGTGAGGTCCTGGGAGTTCCTGAACATCAGGATGGAGTTGTAGATCTTCAGCGCAGGGCCCAGCTTGATCTTCATCACTCTGACGATGTCTGTCTGTGTCAGAAGCAGGAAGGCTTTGCCATCGATCTGCTGCAAACAAATAAACAAACACAAGTTAAAATATCCTGCCATTAAAGCTTGGTTACCCACTGGGAACTCCTGGGTGCTGAATGTGAGACCAAATCATCAAGGCCTCCATGGAGAGCTTGTCAGTGATGGAGAAGGACGTGGCCCTCATTGGGCTCAGGCCCACCCATTCATCAACTCCATCTCCTCCTAGGTCTTGGGACTGAAGTTATTTTGAAAAGGTGCTTACTCTCTTAATTAAGAATTCCATATACAAAAATTTTCCAGTATGAATTTCTGTTGTTGTGTTTAAAAAATCTTGGTCTTGAATTTGTATCAAAAGCTGTTAAAGTAATGCTGTAAATCTCCAAGAGTTTTGTTTTTTTCCCCCTGAGAGAATAATATGCAATGTGCAKACTATCGCAGTACTTATAATACTGGAAACAATCCAGGGTTCCAATAAGAGCTGAAGTAAATAAATTATAGTATAGCCATGGGATGAGACACTAAGCAGGCACCCAAATTTACTTCTCTATGAAACATTTAATGATCTGAGAAATTTCATGAATTGTTAAGCAATAACACAGCATGTTGACACAAATCTCAAACTTGATTTTTTAAATTAAATATACATGACCACATGTATATATAATATTTAAAATATTTGAAATTTTACATCAAATGTTAACAGAAATTGTCTTTGGCTGGTGGAAGAGTGATTGGTTTTTATTATCTCCTTTTAATTTTCTTATATCTTAAATTTGTAAATATTTTATTTGCCTTAAAAACATTTTAAAATTAGCTCAGAAGGATTCTTGGCTCTAAATGAAGATCTAATGTCTGAATGAGTGGTGATAGATGTATCTGTAAGGTGTTTTGTTTTGTTTTTGGTGGTACTGGGAATTGAACCCCAGGGTCGCTTTACTACTTAGCTACATCCATGGTCCTTTTTTAATTTTTTTATTTTTGAGGAAGGTTGTTAACCTGCTTAGGGCCTTATTAAGTTGCTGAGGCTGACTTGGAACTTGGAATACTCCTGCCTAAGCTTCCTGAGCTGCTGGGATTATAGGCAAGCATCACTATATACCTGGCTGTATCAGTGATCCAGATTGTGAGAAATTGTTATACAATTTAATATGCATATACAATAGTATATGCATATGAAATCATCATGTTCTATGCCTTGAATGTATTCAACTTTTTTAAAGAGAGAGAGAGAGAGAGAGAGAGAGAGAGAGAGATAATTTTTTAATATTTATTTTTCAGTTTTCAGTGGACATAACATCTTTGTTTGTATGTGGTGCTGAGGATCGAACCCGGGCCACACGCATGCCAGGCGAGCGTGCTACCGCTTGAGCCACATCCCCAGCCCTTTAATTTTTATTAGACACTTAAATATTTTTAAATAGAAAATACTGTAGTGTGAAGTGTGATTTTTTCCTTGAGTCAGTAATGGTGAATGGCTAGCATAGAGACTGCTTGTCCACAGCTTCYTGAGGCACTGGGGACCTCAGAGCTTGTCTCCAGAGGCTTCTTGAGTGTCTTTCCCCCTGTAACACCACTGAAGTGATGGTGACGATACAGCTAACATTTGAGGTACAGCTTGACTCAGCTAAATCCTGGCTCCAGAATCACAGAGATAGGAATGAAAGGGGTTTCCATTCTAGCAACCCTTCCACAAACCTTGAACCATGGTTCTAAACCTTTTCAAATTTCATAATACAAATCCCTTCGAATTCATGTCTCACTGACAGTGATGATTCTTATAATGGAAGGAAGACTTACCCTGAGACCCCTGGGGTGTGATTTGAACATTTTAACTCTCTTTTAAAATTCTAATTTGTTACATATGACAGCAGAATGCAATTCAATTCATATTACACAAATAGAGCACAATTTTTCATGTCTCTGGTTGTACACAAAGTAGAGTCACACCACACCTTTGTGTCTTCATACATGTACCTAGGGTGTCTGTCTCATTCCACTGTCTTTCCTACCCTCATGCTTCCACCCCTTCCCCTCCCTCCCTTTACCCTATCTAAAGGTGGTCTATTCCTCCCATGCTGCCTCCCATCCCCGTTATGAATCAGCATCCTTGTATCAGAGAAAACATTTAGCATTTTTTTGATTAGCTTATTTCACTTAGCATTATATTCTCCAACTCCATCTATTTACCTGCAAATGCCATGATTTTATTCTCTTTTAATGCTGAGTAATATTCCATTGTGTATATATACTGCATTTCTTTAGCCATTCATCTACTGAAGGGTATCTAGGTTGGTCCCACAATTTAGCTACTGTGAATTGTGCTGCTCTAAACATTGAAGTGGCTGCATCAGTGTGGTATGCTGTTTTTAAGTCCTTTGGGTATAAATCGAGGAGGGGGATAGCTGGGTAAAATGGTGGTTCCAGTTTTCCAAGGAATCTCTACACCACTTTCCAGATTGGCTGCACCAATATGCAGTCCCACCAGCAATGTATGAGTATGCCTTTTCCCCCACATCCTCACCAACATTTATTGTTGTTTGTATTCTTAATAGCTGCTATTCTGAGTGCAGTGAGATGAAGTCTTAGAGTGGTTTTGACTTGCATTTCTCTAATTGCTAGGTGTTGAACATTTTTTCATATATTTATTGATAGATTGAATATCATCTTCTGAGAAGCGTCTGTTCTGAACATTTTAATCCTTTAAAAGTTTGGAAAAGCTTCCTGTGCATTTATGATATATTGAAGATTTATCCATTTAGCACATACTAAAAGCAAATACTTTCCCCAGGGGCTAAAAAGCACACACTACAGGTGGAGGAGAGAGAATATGCCTCCTTCCATTCCTAACATGGGTCTGGCTCTAGCATTTTCAAGCAAAAATTGCTGTCCACATATCCAGTTGTCCTGAGAATAAGTGATGATGGTGAGGATACAGCTAACATTTAAGAAACTCTGATAACCTTCCATGTATTTGAACCTCCCAGTGACTCTGTAAAGTAGATGAGGAAACCTGAAATTCTAAGCTAAAAGGCTTGTGTTTCAGAGGGGAGGGAAGAGAGAAGTTGAGTTACCCCAGCACATAACAGAGTTGGCCAGGAAGGATCAAGCTGGAATAAAGTGGCCACAAAGGATTCTCTTTCCTGCTCATCATGTAGACAGACTCGGACAAGGTGGGTAACACAGACAGTAGACTACATGTATGAGGCTGGGTCAGCAGTGTCCAGGCTGTGCTACCCTCAGGTGGAACCAGGAGAACCTCGTTTCATTGGCAGCCAGTAGACCAATGCCATTCTGACTGGGCTCCATAGTGCTTCTCTTGTATGCATGTATGCTCTGAACTCGAGAGGAAGAGAGGTGTGTGGTGCTTTCCAGAGTCCTTAGGAGGGTACTTCTTTGGTAAGTTCTAAAGCTGTGAATGAGGTTCTGGAATACAATCCAACTCTGCTCTTTACTTGTGATGCCTAGCCCTCTTGAACCTGAACTTTTTCATGGTGAACTGTCAATGTAGAGTGTTTTGAGAATCAAAAGATAATGATTATAGGCCTGCACCACATGGCAGGCCTATGGTAATCACTGTCATTATTATTTGCATTATCATTCGGTTGTTGGTATTATTATTTGCAGTATCATTCTGTGGCCCATATGGCTATGGATACTAATTCCAGGAAAAATGTTAAGCAGTTCAGAAAATTCCCAACCAAGGGAAGGCAGGAGGCAGAGATCTTACAGGATTCTGTGGCTCCTCCACACCCCTCTTGAAGCAGGTGCTGGCAGGGATAACAGGATGGTCCCCCTTCTGCATTTGGAGCAGAGTCCCCTCTACTTCTTGGTTGTAGACCCAAGGGAAGATTCCTCTCTCCCCCCCCCATATGGCCTCATGCAGAGACTGCATGATTAATTATCTTGTTCATTTACTCTTCCACCAAACAGTATATTTGTGGAGCATACTGTCTAAGSTGAGTGTCACAGCACTCTGTGACAAAGCAGAGCTAAATAAGTGAGAACTAAAGACAGTGGCTGCCCCTCTGCATCAGTCCCTCACTTACTGCTGGGCTCCTCCCCTGCTGGCTCCCTTTTCTCTTGCCTCCCCAAACTGCTCTTATTTATACTTAACTAAACAGAAATAAAGAACTTTGGGGCCAGAAGTATGGAAATATATCTGATTTTTACATTTCTTACCTCTTTCTTGAAGCACTTGGCATGTTCTTCGCAGCCCAAAAGAGACTGTACAAACTCAGCCACCTACAGCGCAAGATGAAAAGCCTAATTTAAGACACACACCTGAAATAATTTGGGGGTTGTAGTAAATCAACATGTGAGTAAAATAAACTTTGAATCCCTCAAACACTTGGGATTTAAATAGTAACTATCAAGTCACATTAGCATTTGTCAGCTGAGCAATGAGTCCTGCCCCCAGTGTCTTTTCTATCCTTTGATCACCAAGCTGACCTACACAGGGTCATGGTGATAACGGTGAAGTGATGGCTTCCCTCTGGGTGGGGTTCTGGCATTCTAGAAGCTTCTTGCACCTGAACATCCTGACCACACTCCAGTGTCAAGGTAGGCAGGGGACAGTAGCCTCATGCAGCAATATTCACAAGGACCACTGTATTTGTAGGCAGACTTGATGGCAGAGTCCCCTCTTAGGGCTGAGGCTCCAGGTCCTCACCCGGTGCCTGGCAGCCTGGAGGAAATCGTAAATCTATGCTGAGCTGGATTCCCAATTAAACAACCACAAAACTGAAGCCCAAGGAGGTGTAACAACTTACCCAAGCTTCCACATGGTCAGTGGGTAGCAGAGATGTTTTTGGACCTGGGTTTTCTACCTCCAAATCCTGAGTTCTGGAGACTTGGTCCCTTTCACTTGACTTCCCACCTCTCTTTTTTACCCTTTCTCTGTCCCCACATGCCCCATGTTCCTTATAATAAAAGAATTCAGTCAAGGATGGACTGTCAACTCAGGAAGCTATGGACTGGTCTCAATAGACAATTTAGGGGCGCTCCCTGAACAGACATGATAAAATGTAGACTCCTAACAAACCCAAATGACTGCTGGGCTCTGGCTATTTCTAGCTGGGTCTGGCACAGTGTCAGCAGGGGAGGAATGAAAGCAGAAGCACAATAGTAAATGGAATTGTGGGAGGGTGATTTGTAGGAGGACCTGTCCTCTTGCTTGTTTTTCCTCTTGGCTGTCTCTTTCCTGTGTTGACTGAATGGTGAGTGCTCACCCAGTCCCTCTCTGCATCTCACGGGGAAGGTCTCAAGAGGGCTGCGGAGCTCATGGTCTTATTCTAACAAGTTCCACCATCGCAGCATCCTGGGAGCACCCACTCCCTCAGAGCCCCCCATGAGAAGTAAGAAGATGCTCCTCCTCTCACTGCAGAAGAGCACCAGGTGATGGGTGGTGACCCAGGTTCTAGAACAGTCAGGGAGGACCAATGCCTCCAGACACACCCTATGGCTGCACACCTGAGTTCTATCTGCTTTATGCCCTTCCGGCACTGTGAGTCTATTTCATCATGGGTCCCTTTGCAATCATCCTTCTAGAGGTGATAAGGACTTAGAAAGTCCCTCCCAAACCAGCCATCACGCTGCATGTATTGGCATCACCCTGACCCAGGAGCTCTGGGATGAGTGCCCATGTGCTCAGGCCAGCTGTGGTTCTTAGCATGACAGGCCCAGTTTATTCAGAACCTGGGGCTCTGCAACACAAGTGGAAAAAGCTGAGRTTTTCTGAGTTCACCTGATTGTCTTCTTCTAGGTAAACAGGATGCACGGAGCATGTTTATAGCATCTGCAGGGAGCAGAAGAAAGTCATGGAAGGCCTCCGGTCAACTGGAACTCGGGTGACAAGAGCTTTGATGGTGGCTAAGGACTCCTAATGGGTCGCTGGCCCAAAACACTGAGAGATGGGGCATCTCTGTCCTTCCCCAGGCTGCTGTTCTAGATGAGCATGTCCTGAACCTGGCCAGGTGTGAGGCTTTGTGCTGGGGTTTGGAAGGGCTGCACCTGTGAGTTAACRGTTCAATGTGTGGTGGGAGGAGAGAGGGGGAGGAGTATAACACTCCTTTCTCATGACTATGACACATGGTCAAATGTGTGACCCTCCAGAGGAGAAGTGTAAAGGCACAGGCTTTTGCAAGAGAAGACTGCATCCAGGTGGGAACATCATAAGGATGGGGTCCCTGAGATGGTCACTGACGTAAGCTCCATCTTCCCATGGGTGGCAATTTGGGATGGATGTGTTGAGAAGACCTTCTAGATATGGAGGATCACAGGAGGCAGCCCAGAAGCAGGGCCACACAGTGTGGGTGGGAGCAGCAGTGAGCAGTCCAGGTCAGCTGGTACTGAGGAGGGCAAGGGGAGCGGCATCAGGAAAGGCAGGGTTGGCATGGCCGTCAGCAGGTGGCAGAAAGCCTGGCGCCCTGGTTCTCCAGCTCGGCCACACATTACATTCACCTGCAGAGCTTTCAGGCTGACTGAAGTCCAGGCTCAGTCCACAGAGATTGCAAATGAATGGAGCTGGACTGCATCCAGGTGCTGGGTATTTATTTTCAGAGCTCCCCAGCGGATGCTAATGTGCACTGAGGGCTGAGGAGCCACAGTGCCAGAGAAAGCTGGAGAGGTGACCCAGCAGCATCTAGATGGACTCGTGCTGGGTCTTCTGAGTGGGCAGGGCATTAGCGGAGGCATCAGCTGCAGTCAGCGGGAAACATGAGGGCTGGACATCTGCTCTGCGTGGGGAAGAGCCTAGAGCTGAGGAGGAGGGGATACAGGGGTAAAATCCCCAGAACTGGGGCTGGGTACCAGGGCAAAAGCAACCAAAGCTGAGTCCAGGAACATGTTCTAGGGTGGGGTTTCTCAACCTCAGTGCCACAACGCCTTGGGTCAGAGAACTGCTGTGGGGCRGTCCTGCGGAGGAGGGATTTTTAACAGCCTCCCTGGCCTCTACTCATTAGCTGCCACTTGCAGCTGTGACAGCCAAAAGATGCATCCAGATGTTGCCAATATCCCCGGGGGGTCAAAATCAACCCAGGTCCTCTTCTACTGTGGCTCTTTCACAGGGCTGAATGTCATAGAAGGAAAAAGGTGGAGAGAAAAGGGGGACCAGGAGTGAGCTAGAGACCCATGTGCCATCCCATCTCATTCAAGAGCCGTGGTGGGGGCGCCACGTCAACTGTCGGGACAGTGGCCTCCCTGTGGGATGGAGGGGCTCTTACATACTTGCTCAAGGGCTTCTGTTCACTGCAGAAGTGCTGCGCGTGGCTCTGGGTGTTTGCTATGTTAAATTGCCCTTTTCTGGACAAACAATGAAACAAGGACTCCATCCCCTCCTCAGTACCATTAGCCAAGAAATCACTGTCCCTGTCGAGGTAAACTAGCTTCTTTTAATGGGAATAAATAATGTGTCAAACCAAAGTGTCAACAGAGCAGAGTGAGGGCTGTGATCGAGGTGGCCTCCTCCTGCAGCTTTGCCCTTGCTCTCCAGAGGCAGTTGGGTAGCCACGTCTCCCTGGCCTACCACCTCTCTCAAACTCTCTGCTTTTCCAGAAAGACATTCCCATTCTACTCAGTCTGTTTTCCCAAAGTAAAGAATAAGTTCCATGAAACCTGTAGAACCAGACTATATGGCTAAGAATATAAAAATTGATTCAGTATTACTAGTTGATATTTATTTCCCCTAAGGTTTATTGACTTTTAATAGCAAGCCCGTTTTGCTACAGGTTTTCCACATGTGAAGTGGTGAGCTTTTAAGGAGAGTAACATCCAAAGGTTTTCCTCTCATTCTCCCCTTCAAAGAAAGTCTTTTTTTTTGTTCCCTTCAAGTTTGTGGTAAAACGCGGGTAGCTATTTATCGGCAGAAAATTCAATGAGAGAGGAGTGTCCATTTGTCCTCAGTCCATGAAAGAACAGCAGTGGGGTGGTTCTGCTGTTTTAAAGTAGCAGCTACTCTGCTGGAGACCGGTGGCAGCCCAGGCTTTGGCCATGGCTGTGGGAGCTCCCCATGGTGTGGGGATGACATGTGGGCGTGTGTCCTTGGCTGGGGCTGTGGGGGCTGACACACACCATTTTCTAGACTGTCAGGAACACAATGTCCTATGGCCAAAATCCCTGCTTTGCTTTGGAAGGACACTGAGTAAGTTAATTGTAGGTATGAGACAGCAGTCTGGGAAGACTAAGAAGGATGACACCGCCTGGGTTCTCAGATGAGCCCTTCACTGTACCCAGCTCACGTCCCCCCCACGACCTACTTTCTCGGCCTCCTCTCCAGAGCGCAGCAGGCCTCTGTTCCGCAGTGGGGCTGCTGCCTTCAATCTTCCTGGATGGTGGTGTTCTCCCTTGCTGAGCCTGGAGATGTGTGCCTGATTGTACTAGCTAAAAGTCCACTGGGGACCATGTTTCCAGTCTGAGTCTCATTTTTTAACAGCACAGTTTATTTGCCCTTTTTTAAGGGCTCAATTGTGAAGGCTGCTATGCTTAGCTAGCAGTACCCTGAATTTTTCAAAATACTCCCTCCTGTGTAAAGTCTGCTTTTAAAGTGACTTCCATCTTTTATAGTTAATGAACATTTAGGGAGCACTTGGTTGAGGCTCAGACAATTTATATGGGGTGCTTTAAGAAGTATTTTAAGATATAAGAGGTGCCAAGCATAACTGAGTCATATCTGTGGTGGTGAATGTGCACGCAACACTCACAGCCTGCCTGCATGTGCTTGGACACACACCTGGCAGGAAGACACTACATAAAATTCACCTTTGCATTCACTCACTCACTCAAATGTGCATCTGACACTCTGAGTGGAGGAGAGTTTGCTGTGAAGATGTAAAAATATAAAAATATTTTGGTTTTTACTCTCAGACATTGATGTATTTGAACAGGATATTTCCCTGGTCTAGAGTAAGAAATAAACTTACGCTGACCATAATTTAGCACAAGCTCACACCCATATCTAACGGAAGTTTCCCAAAACAATAACCTTCATGATACATCATGTATCTATTCTTGCCTTCCATTTCATAACCACTAAATTGACTTCACGGCCTAACTATGCTTTGAAAAACACTGTGGTGGGAGAGACAACCATGGTGATAAAGGAGTTGAAAGCCAGCTCACAGCTCTGGGAGTGTGACAAAGGCCCTGTTTGGCTTCTCTTCACAGGTAGCATCATGCAGAGCAGAGGCCTTTCTCCCAGGCCAGGGTGGCAGACAATGGGAACCTTCTCTCTCTTCTCTTCTGCTATAGACACTCATGTTAGGTCTCTGAATGGCGCTTTAYGCAGGATGCCCAAGTTCATTTCAACACCCTGTCCTTGGCTACTGAGGCTCCCCTATGACCAGCGCTAACAAAGCACAAAAGGAGCCCCAGCCCCCACTGATCCTGCTCAGATCTGCACTGCCCTTTCAAATCCTCCTCCTCAATCACTATTTCATTGTGGCGTCCGGAGCGGGCTCGCACTCCACCGTTGGTGGGCACCCACTAAACACCCTGATGTGGACTCCCTTTGGAGAGCTGTCTTATTTTCAAAGATAGAAAAAGAACACAAACACAAAGCCTGCATTTTTCAATCCATCAAAGATCATTCTTGAGGACCTATTTCAGTGCTGAGAGAGGTGCTGTAGTGCATAAAGATACAGGCAAGAAATTTAGGATGTGCTCCTTGTCCTCAAGGGCATCTTGTTAGGATGATACCAAGGCTGAGACAAGTCAACATGAGGGAATAGGGAGAAGGTTGCCTTTGGAATGCCTCCCTGGTGGGAGTCATGGTTACCGAAGCACCAGGAAGCATTATGAGCAGGGGCGTTCGATGCAAGGCTCTTGGCCTCTCTGATTTTACTTAATTTATAAATGCTCTAAGGACTTTCCCAGCAATAAAAGGCTGTGATTGCGCGCGCGCGTGCGCGCGTGCACACACACACACACACACACACACACACACACACACACATAACAGAACTCAAGTACTGGGATGTCGCCTTCCTCACAGTCCTTGGTAGCATCCTCAGTCTTAGCCTTTCTCCTTGATCTTCCTTTTGAGAACTTCCCAGTCCTACTGAGACTTTTCCTGGTCTAGAGTAAGAAATAAACTTACGCTAAAACAATTCCAAAATTGTTTTAATATTAAGTGCCAAACTTGAAAATTGTCAGATCAGCCACCAGCCTCCCATTTCCTATTTACTGCTTGATGCTCCTTTTAGGGGGTCCTGTTCTTTTTGCTGTCATGCAAAGAAGCAAATGAAAGTTATCTCTCCTCCATTAAGAAAAACACAAGATTTCCAAATCTCCTGAAGTCCAACTCTGCAGCCCCAGCTAGGACCCTGAGCTGAACCTGCCATATGCCTTGCTGCATGGAAGGCTCTTGACTGGCCTCCCTGGGAGGCTTTTCTTCTGGGGCTTCCTCCAGCTCCTCCTTGACTCCCATTTGCATCTCCCCTTCCCCTGCACCTTTTATCTGAGCCTGGGTCCTCAGTTTTCAGAGTTGTCTCTGGGAGCACTGACTTGGAGCCCTTCCCTCACTGGTAATGACAGTGCCTCCTGTTTCCCTGTGTTGTCCCCTTGTCTCCAAACTGGGCCCTTTCCCCAAAGTTTCAGTATTCTGACAGCTCCAGCATTTCCCCACTTACTGGGCCTCCCAGCTCTCACATATTATTATCCTAATTAAGTACTAAACTGTGTAGTGCTCAGACTATAAATGGAATCACATTTGGCTGGTTTTACTTTTTCATCTTCTATGTCTAAACGACTTCCCTGTGCTGTTGCTTTTGCCTTTAAAACATTTACGGAAGTCAGGTTCTTCTCGTGGCAGCACCCAATCCAGACCCTGATTTCCCCACACCAGGGGCATGCTGGCAACTTCCTGGTTGTCCTCTTCTCCTTGGCTTCTCCCTCTTTCTGTAGACCTGTCATACTCATTTCCCTGAAACAGCACATTCACAAAGTGACTTTATGCCCGAGAACCTAATGTGACTTCAGCTGCCAAATGAGTCATGCCACTCCCCACCTGGCCTCTGAGGCCTTTGACACCTGGTCACCTTTCGCTTTCCCAGGTTATTTTCCTTCAGGCCCAGGGCTGCTGTTTGCATGGTGAACCTGATTCTGCCAGTGTAGCCTTAGGCAAGTCACTTAGCCTCTGGCTGACTCAATTTCCCCATCTGCCAAATGGGTGAAATAAAAATCTCGGCCTTACTATGGAGGACATATGGAACCAAGAGCTAGGAAACCAGCAAGAAAAGACTTACTTTCCAGATACAGAATTTCAAATAACAATCTTGAAAATTAAAAACAAATGACATGCCATTGAGTTCTCAGTTGAACTTCCTATTTGTGTAGTGTTGCTTCAAGGGCAAAACTATACATGATTTAAAGTTTTAAAGTTGAGGTTTGGTCATGTTGCTGAAGGGGACCAGGAGTGAGCTAGAAAAATTCATAAACAGGCAGACTTGGGACACTTTTAAGGAGAAAGACCACATTTTAGCCATTTTCCCAGACACACAGCCAGTTCCTGGCACATTCCAGGTCAACTCTCCATGACCAGGACCATCCAGGCCTTTCTAAGAGTGGAAGGAGAGGTAGGCAGCATGGCATCCTGTAAAACAATGGCAGACCACTCTGTTTCTGCTAAAGGACTCCGGGCGCAGGCCCATCATGTGAAGTGCCTGGGGAGGAGTGAGAACAGGGACCTCAGTCCAAGCCTACAAAGGAAGGCTCAACCATGGGAAAGTCAAGGTGACCACAGGAAGCGCTCAGCAAATATTTTGTGACAAATTTAACTCCAGTTGTAACTTGAATCTTGCCCTCCAGGGTTTTCGTCATTGAAATAAAAAGTTCCCAAGCCTAACTAGGGAAACAATACCTTTATCAGAAAGAAATTCCACCAAACAGTGTACTCCTTATAATAAGATGGCTTTAAATATGAAGTAGTCCTATTGCATTATAGCAAGCAATGGGGCTTAACGGATCCTTATTAAAAAACAATATTGTAAGGCATGATTATATTAAAATATGATCTGGCTTTTCCCTCTGTGCAGCATCTTACACAATGTTGATACCATATGCACTTTAAAAACCAACCTAATGTTGACCTGATCATCTTGTGGCTTTGGGTGAAGAAATGGGAAGCAAGGCCTGCTTGCAGAAAATGTACTTGGTGCTCTGGGCCAGTGCTATCTTCCAGCAAGGATGTTGCTGGGACTCAAGTCTAAGATGCTTATACATTTGTACTTCCTCAAATCAAAGCTGGGATGTGGACTTGGAGGTTTAAATTAGCCCTGGGCAGATAGTGATGAAGCACAGGGCAGCACTGGATAAGGCTGGGAAGAGGAGACACAAAACTAACTGGGCTTTCCTAATTTCCTCAAAATCATGTCTGGCTTCTCACTGCATTTGAATTTAACTTAATATAGAGGATGTGCTGCCTGAAAGAAAAAGGGTATTTTCCCAGGCAACAGAGACGCCCAACAAAGGCTGGTCCCATCCCATGGCCCTGGCGCTCACCTGGTCCACTGTCCACCGGGCCACCTGGCTGGCCTGGATGTCAGCTACACCTGGCAGCAGCTTGCAGTGCTGCTCCCTGCCGAGGGGAAGCTCCCGAGAAGGGTGGGCTGACATGGAAGTCAGGAAGACCGATTGGTGCAGGGCCTGCTGGTTCTGCTCAGCTGAGTATTCTGAAAGAGAGGCAGTGTGGAGTGAGCAGCAGGTCAGCCTGGAGCCGAGGGCCTGTGGTCAGGGTAGGGAAGATGCAGACACAACCAACAGCCTTGTCTCCTGCTTATACAAGGTCACACGGCCAGGAGTCCCCATGCATAGCCACCATGGTTCTGCTTTAGAACAGTGGCCTAGCCAAAATAGATGTCATGTTAGGCCCTGAAGACTGTGGCTGCTTGCTTTAAATACAAATCATTTCTGTGAGATACTGTTTGATGGCCAATGAAGGACTAGCTTGTCACTGCCTCTGGCTTCTCTCTCCTTAAATCAGAGGAGAGATTTAAGGAACCAAGGACCCACTCAGAATGTGAATGCTGAGCAGATTGGCATACTGAACTATCTGGGATGTGTATGTACAAAAGAACAATTTCTTCCTGGAAGCCATTCTATACATCTCTAAAGCTGGCCAGGTCCACATCTGGCTTCCTAAATCCCCTGGTGACACTGAATGAAATGTAGCACAGGGTCCTCATGAGAACTGGGGTGACATCAGCTGCTGCTGTCAATCCCCAGCACACAATAACCTCAGGTGGGAATCTGGGGCAGCTAAGGATTTCTGGAAAGCAGCCTCCGCTGAGATGTGATTTCCCTGGCACAGGCATTCTTAAGTGGGGTGCTCTCTTTTCTGAACAAAAGCTCTGAGTGCACCAGGGTTGTGAGGGCATAAAGAACAATGGCTGCTGCTTGCCCAAGAGTGGCTCCTCTTGAAGTGAGACTTCAATGGGATTGATGCACTTCAATGTCATTTTTATCAACACTTCTGTTTAGTTTTTCCCCTCAATAATGACTTCACTATTTATTTATTTGTTTATTGCAGTGCTGATGATTGAACCCGGGGCCTCATGCATGCTAGGCAAGTGCTCTACCATACTATTACATCCCTAGTCCCAAAGTAACTTTATTCTTAAGTTACATCCCAACATTTAAGATAGACCATAGATTTAAATCCTCTATTTTACTTTGAATCTACAAACGGGCAAGGAACAAAAACATGTTACAGAGATTTCAGAGAAAAACATTGCCTTTATAATATTGTCTAAGATACTTTTGACGTGCATTAGCAAAATAAAACTACCAATATTTAAAAAGACTTTGAAAAGACACATTATGAAAAGAAATATTTCAAGAAAAAAAGTACACCCTTCATAATGCAAATGGCAGGTTAAGAAAGCAATAGCTACATAATTTAAAGTTTATTATGATGGTTGGTGTTTTACAAACTGAGCCTAAAGAGTTATTATGCAAATAATTCCACCTCAAATTAATTACAGTTCTTAAAGGGTGAGGCTGACCTGTACTTGACATGGTCAGTTGTATACTTTTTATAATCAGAAAGGCCTAAGCTTTAAGCAATCTGTCTGTCACTGGGATTCTCTATACGATGCTGCTCTTGTGGATCGCAGCAGACATCCTCATATTTACCAAGGCTTGCTGTCTACCCAGATGAAGAGACAGCAAAATTGCCAGCTTCTTCCCAATTCTTATGCTCCAGTTGCAACCAGCAGTAAATTCATCTCCAACTGCTGATTGTCCAATGCTGACCTTTTTAGTATGTAAATAGGTTATCTCTCTTCACATAGTTCTGCCAACARTATGTAAGGCTGCAGGTTCTGAAAGGAAGCTTCATATCTTCTTGGAAAAGCCAGTATGCTGACATATAAGAGTGTCTTTTAATGAAGTTGTCCCATTGTACAAGGAGCATGTACAAAACAAGCCCTAAAACCCAGGATGGAAGCATCACAGGGCCAGGCTGTGATTATACCAACACAGAAACCTCAGAGAACTTCCCAGGGAAATCCAGAGCCATGGTCTCTTAAGGATTAAGACCTGAGCCAAAGATGGGCTTTATTCTGGAAAAGAATGACTGTATTGCTCAATTCGTTGCTTTTGATGAAATAGTATGGACTTAAACAAACAAACATATGTATCTCAAACCCATGCCTTGGGCAAATTAATGATGTATAATCTCTAAAGTATGCAGGACTCTGAGAAGACACAGTTAATAAATCTTATGTCTCAGGAATAGGAAGATATCAAGGAATGGTGATCATATTTCTGTGATTCACAAATTAAGGCTTCAGGTATTAAACATGTAAAGAAAGAATCACTGAATTCCAAACCAAGGAAATTTTCAACACAATAATTTTGGAAAAGAACTGTTTGCTTTGGATGTTGAGATATTCTCTTGAAAGTATACCTCGTGTGTTTCTTTCAGTACCTGAACTAGGGTTCCTCAGCCCACTGCATTTCATTGTTGAGGCAGATTTCTGGCTCTGGAAGGTGATACATGGGGACTCCCATTGGCTCAGGTAGCAAGACAGCCTTTAGAATTAAAGGCAGGGAACTCTTGCTTTATACTTTTGAATTTAGATTGGCTTGATATTATCTATGGCTTTTGAATATGGTTAACCGTGCCCCTGTTAAATCAAAGCATTCATTTGGAGGGGATTGGAATTTGGATTACTCAAGGAATGAACAAAACTTACTCGGAAGCCCATGAGAACTGTGGGGAACAATTTTAATGCCACAGGAGATCCTACCATGGGCAGTGGAGAAAGATCCACAGCTCTCTGCTGGGCTGTAAAGTCCCTACTGAGTTCCAAGAATTTTCACCAGGTATAAGGGTTAGAGTCTATTCATCTGTAACCTCAAGTCCTAGGGAATTAGTCACATGTTTAACATATGAAATTTTTTTACTGTTATTAATTTTGTTGTATCAATTTCACATCATTGAATAAAAACTTGAAAACTTACTTTCCATGTTTTCAGTTGAATATGGGTATGTTCAACCACAGTCTGAAAACAAACATTAAATAGAAAATTTCAAAAGTGAACAATTCATAAGTTTAAAATCGTGTGATGTTCTGAATAACTTGTTGAAATCTTGTGGCATCTTTCCTGTGATGTGAGTCCTCTCTTTGTCCAGTGTATCCACTCTGTACACACTACCTGCCCGTTAGTTACTCACTAGCTGTTTGTTATCAGATTGACCACTATGGCATAGCAGTGCTTGTGTTCAAGTAACCTTAATTTATTTAATAATGTCCCCAAAGTACAAGTACTGATGCAAAGGAGGCAACAGGGCACAAAACATGGAAGGAGAGATTAACTCTGGTATTAAGTGGCAATGCTGCAGGGCATCTAGGAAAAAACAGAGTATATAGTGGGTTCAATATAGAAGCAGTTTCAAGCATCCACTGGGTCTTGGTATGCCCTGTGGGTAAAGAGGGATTATTGTACTTAAAAAGAGTTAGGTTAGGAAAGGAGCTTCTGAATAACTAGTCTATCATCTCTAAGACATGACTGGAGTTGACTACCATGCAGTGCTGGTGAGAGGGTGAAGGACAAAGCACTCAGCAAGGTCGAAGCTGCTGTAATCACTCAGTGCAGATACTACTCTAAACGCAATCTGAATCTTTGAGACTGGGATTAATGTTTTATAAAGGAAAGTTGCATAACTCCAAATCAACACAATGCAAGACTAATTCTCAGGCAGTGACAAAAGGGAATGTATTTGGGGGGGAGTGTTTCATGGTGACTGTTCTGTATCCTTTGTACCCTTTACCAGGTCTACTTTCTTCCACAACTGATGAGTTTGGAGTGGGACCCTTAGGTTGAGCTGAAGGAGTGCTTAGATGACCTTGCCCCAGAGGAACTGTGGCACAGAGAGGGAAGGTTGGGTTGACCAGATTGCTTGGTTTTGGAGCAGAACAGTGACCTTGAATGAGATGTTTACTGCCTATGCATCCAGGTTTTTCCTCTCTAAAGTGGGTAATAATAGTACTTATACCTCACTGAGTTGCTGTGATTAGAATAGCTCCTAGTATACAATGAGTGTTTAGTGCATGTAAGATATCACAATACTGTTTCAAGATATAAAGGTTGCAACAATAGTGAATGTGGGGACATATAATATGCCCAAAGCCAGTGCAACTAGATGTCCTTGAAACCTATAAAAGCTGAAATCCATACTGAGACTCAGGTTCTTGAGGGCCATGTTCAGATTCACACCCGAGAAGTCCTGGAATGGCAGTGCTGTGGTCAGCAGAACCCTTTGCAGAAGTCCCAGAGGAGAGGAATGAGAGTGGCATCCTCAGGCTTCCCAGGCAAACTAGGACCCATGTGTGGTGGTAGCCTCACAGCACTGCTAAAATTCAGTGGGGCTGGCAGCTTGGAGATTACGTGACTCTTGACAGACTTTTTAAATCAGAGGTTGATTTGCATTAGTTTAAATTCTGTGCATAAAATTAGACTTTTGAAAATATCTGCTTAAAAACTTGCATACATCTTTATAAGATGTGAACACAGTAATTTGAACTTTTCTCTAAACCCAATACAGCTCATATCATATCAGATAGTTGCTAATCAATAAGTTACATAAACCACTGATGAAGGTGTATAAATCATGTGCTGTGTGAGGATTTTCAGTCAGCCATGGGCTGTGTATATGATGTTAGTCCTGTTAGATTGCTGTAGAGCTAAAAAATTCCTGTTGCCTGATATTTTACTATACTTTTTCTATGTTTAGACATGAAGAGACACAAATACCATCATGTTACAGTTGCCTACAGTATTTAGTATTGTAACATGCAGTACAGGTTTGTAGCCTAGAAGGATCAGACTATACCAACTGTGTAGTAGGCTCTGCCATCAAGGTGTATAAACAACACTTTGTGATGTTTGCATGATAAAATCACCTACTGATGTAATTCTCAGACTGTCAAGTGATACATGACAGTACTGTTCTCAAAATCATTCTCATCACACTAAAAAGTTCAGATTATTCTATCTTGGGGCACTTTGGGTAAATAGGGGCTTCCAGATTGGAAAAGGACATTTACCATCAAGCAGGCAAGAAGGTCACTTGCGCTTCATTCCAGCTCTGCTTCCACCTACCACAGCTGAGGGATATGGGCTGCTTCCCAGTTTCACTGCCTCACTGCAGTAATGACTCTTCCCC